TGACCATTGCAGAAGTGACAGCCCATGTGGCTTTCGTTGACCATTAACTTTTGATGCAACATTTTTTTACCCCACTCACGTAAGGGTCGTGGCACGACGGCTGCAAGTTCAAGGGTGTTTATTGCAAAGAAGTAATGAAACCACCTCCATATGACAGCCACCATGTACAGCTTCACATGCTTCAAATGATTATATGCATGAAGTAAGCCGCTCACCCCAAAAATGGGCCCCATCAGAAATAGGGAAGTGCCAACAAGGATCCAACGTGCACAAAAGAGGATATAGCCCAGCAACCTCCACTTGGCGACCAGTTCACCGCTCTTCCATGTCAGACATGATGGAGGCTGCTGGCACATAGATCCCACAGTACCCTAATATATGCATAGGACTTGTGGTGTCATCATACATAACTCCTGTAACTCCTTCTAAGAATCCTGGTCATATCCGCACATCAGAGACATGATTTATAGGTAGTGGGGTGCTTACCAGGCGCCAGTACACCGGACTCCAATCGCATCCAAACCTGGCCACACCAGTTAACCTTGTCAGCATGAGGATTCAAATTAGGCACGAAAACATTTGAGAGTGCGCTAGGGAGCTATAGCCAAGGCTTAAACCCTCATAAGCTGAAGATACCTCCCATCACCCACGATCATTCAGTTATGTTTTACGTGAACCCTACCCTCACAAAGGTCCCGAAATGCTTTTTGCCGTACCCTCTCGCTGTCTTCGATAACGTCTTCTCTCAGAGAAGTGCTGAAGACTGTTTGAGCTCTTTTGGGCTCTCATAAAACTCGACTCAAAGCACACACGATAGATCCAACACCAGCACTGACACCTTTCATTTTGGGATATGGGGTCATTACGCTAAAAACTAAACGTCTCTGGTTACAGCAGATACGTGGCAGGAGAAAAGGAAACGTACTTACAGCACTATTCGTGATCTGTTGACCTGCTTGCAATGTGACTTTGCTCCAGCTATCAACAACATCATCTCATATCATGCTCGTCCCCAATTTGAACTGAAACAGATGTCAGTGCGATAATTTCATTGTTGCTAGACAATCTGCTCACATTATTTAGGTGGGCCGAAATGATACACAAAAAACTCAAGGACACATTATGCGCCTGTCTATAGCTGGACATGGGTGGCGTGTTCTTCACCATCGCTGCTCGTACAGGCACCAGTGAGCTGTTGCATCTCGACTGGAACGATGAACAGTGTTTGTGGACGCTGATGTTTTGTATCGGTTCAAAGAAAAGATAGAAAGGGGGGTATTTCTGTGTTCCTCAGCTGGGTTGGAGGATCCCTATGCACAAGGGAGTGCTAATCACATGCCTCACCAGGCGATTGCCCCACTGTGCAACACCGGTGACTCGTGGTGTCCGAGTAGTTTTTACCTGTTTTACTGATCAGTACATGATTGGCATCACCAGCAGGGCTCATCCTGACCACGTTGCAGAGCTGTTTGCTCAGTACCATATGTAAAATGAAACCATTCTTTAACTGCCAGACATATGTTATCTCCGTGCAATTCTTGTAGTTATACATACTTACATAGGGCAAATGAGCCAGTGTTTGCACCCAATGCCATGATGTAGTGATGCAAAATCCTCTCTTCTAACTCACAAGATCGGACAACAAGCGGTGACTTCCGTTGGCTTCAGGGCAATAGATCTTGTTATATACAGCCAGGCATGATCAGATGCACCTGTATCTGTGGGAAAGGTTGTCCCTCCATCTTCTTGCCGCCCAGCAGCTTGAAGAATGACCTAGGTGGTTCGGAGGAGAACAGCACTGCAGTGCTCGTATTGCATACACGCCCGGAACGCACCTCAAGCTCACAGAAATCATACTTTCCCGCGGTCACGTGCCGATGTTGTTTTTCTCTCCTGGCCCCCCCACCCAGGACAAGAAATCGACACCAGCACATGACTAATTCCCATGCCTCAATCCACCCTCAGTACAAGCTCCTGGCTGTGTTTTATCAAGCCTTGCGTCATTCTGACGGCACCGAATATTCCACTACTTTCCATACAATGATCCGACCATATCTGACACCCTCCAGTGCCCCCACAAATACTTGCCATGTATGTAGATAGCGTAACAGAGAAGTTTGCCCCCGTTGGTACCAACATCTGAGAAAAATCCCATGACTATACAGCACTACATAGTCCAATATAGCATCCATAGTTCCATAGCAATGTCAATTTGTATGGGTGCTATGAAGCTGCCTGCAGTTGCTATAGAGGTCCCTGCCAGTGCTATAAAGTGCTATGGGTGCTATAGATCACAGAGCCAATGCTATGGGCACTACAGACACTATAGCAATTTGGTAGTCATCATATGCTCAGTAAATGTCATGATTAATCAGACAAGAAACTAAAATGTTTGATTTTGAAAGCAAATATTTGGATTGCATAATAACTGTATACAATATTACATTACTAGTGCTACCGGCCAGCTTACATAAGCATTTCATACACACAAATCCCTACCTAGGTGGAGGCAGGGGCAAGGGCAGAGGCGGAGGCAACGCCGAGCCTGACCGTGTTGGCGGCTCGGGCTCGGTGCTGTCGAAGGGGGGCGGGAGGCAAGAGGCCGAGCCTGACCGCGCCAGCGGCTGAGGCTCGGGGCTGTCGGAGGCACGCGCAGGGGGTGGGAGGCGAGGCCAAGCCCGACCGCGTTGGCGGCTCTGGCTCGGGGCTGGTCGAAAGACGGCGGGAAGCAGGGAGGTGACGCCGAGCCCAACCGCGTTGGCGGCGCGGGCTCGGGGCTGGCAGAAGGTGGGCTCGGGGCTGGCAGAAGGCGGGCGCGGGGTGGGAGCCAGGGGGCGGGGGATGCGGCGCTGAGCCCGACTGCGTTGGCGGCTCGGGCTGGGAGGCGGGTCGAAGGGTGGGCGCAGGGTGGGATGTGGCGCCAAGCCCGACCGCGTTGGCGGCTCGGGCTCAGGGCTGGTCAAAGGCGGGCGCAGGGTGGGTTGGGAGCGCCAGGCTCGTCAACGGGGGAGGCGGTGGGGTCGCGGCTTGTTGAGGGCGGGGGGGGTGGGGGAAGGGGCATGGATGGACTTGTGTTGACGGGCTGTGGCTGCGTCAAACATCGGTCACGTGACCATTGGTTGGCATTGACGCCGCCGCGGCAACATGGATCACGTGACCGCCGGTCCAAACCTGAATTTTTGCTAAGTCCACATTGATCCTAGTACTGTGCCATACTTAATGTTTATATATAAGCTTATATGATACTATGCACTCATACTTCACTGTACAGGCTGACTATTACCCCAAAACTAATGACGATCATAATATAGTGTGAATTGGAAAGTCTGCTATGGTTTCTATATAAGTATGTACCGAAACTATGGATGCTATATAGACATATATCCAAAGCTATGGGTGCTATATTGATGTCACTATGAGCTATGCAGTGCTATATAGCTGGTGTATTAAGCTATAAATTGCTACATAGCACCCCATAGCGACCGTTATAGTCTACATAGCACCCCATAGCGACTGTTATAGTCTACATAGCGCTCTATAGCAGCTAGCTGATCACTCCATAGTGCACATAAAGCTACTATAGCAACAATAGTTCAAAGGGGCAGCTATATAAATTTGGGTTTTTTCAGATGAAGTTTGTCTTAGCTTTGCCATCGCTGTTTCGTATAGCGTCCACCCAACTCAAAAGAAAAGAAAATATCCATATCTCTATCTACTCGGCCGCCTCTGAACTGCCTCACTTCCTCGCACCCCTTTTTTTTTACCTTTCTCTTTTGGTTTTGGCCTAGCTGGGACCGCACATTACAGCACGGTGGATATCACATACTCCGATTTGTCAGGCTGGGAGAGAGCTGTGGCGCCACGCAAAGAAACACAGAAAATATGTTATGCTGTCATTACTACAATAGGGTGACACAATCATTGTGGGGTGAAGTCACAAATACTGGTTCACCGAGTGTCTGTCTGATTATGAATTGAGTACATGACAACAATTTTGTCTCCTTCCTTGGCGGTCAGCCCAATTCCTACTCTGAGATCAGTCCATAATAGTGAGCTGGTACGTCCCTCGGCCTATCTTTGGCCATAGGATAGCTGCCCTAGTGTTGTTGTCAGTCAATTGAGACGACGGAAGCTGGGTGTTGAAGTTATTGCCTATCACGTTCCTGTTCGGGAAACAATGAATATAATGTGTCAGCAAGATAAAGATACACTTACATGGCTCCAGTAGTTGCGAAGGTGTACTTCTTCCCGTCCTTGAGTATGACATCCGTGAGGATCTGCTCCTGCTGTCCGTGGTAGTGATACAGAGGACATTCTCAGACATAAATGAGTTTACTTACTTTACCAGGAATCAGGTTACAAAGTGTGAATGTTTGAGCTCTTCGATGGACCAGAACCGAGCACAGCTTGACGTTGAGTTCCAC